ATGAAAGAACTTTACTATGATAGAAATTTGATATTTCACACAGATTTTAGAAAGGCCACAGAGTGGCAAATTGTAGCTGGATGAGGACGTGAATATTTGTAATTAACATGACCCCAGAGGAATGTATTTGGCAAAAAATACCTTTCTTTGTGAGCGTTCTTTTGTAGTTTGTCATTACACATGCAGAACAAAACAACACCAAGTGTAAACTCATCTTTATCCTTACAAAACATCAGAATTATGAAATGATACAATCATGCTCTATTCTGACAGCATCATCAGAACACCACTCTTTGCAGAAATCTAGCAGTTTAAATAAAGAATTAAAAATCACAATCAATAGATGGCAACTAGATTTCAAGACTAAATGGATTGTCACATCAAGAAGTATTTTCATTAGCCCACCCATAGGAAAGAAAAGCTAAGGGAAATACAATCTGCTTTCCCTTCGTGTCAGTTGCACCTCTGAAGTCTTAAAAATACTTAGAGATGTGCTTAAGTGGAGCAAAGGAGTAGGCAGCCTGTCTAAAGTCACCCTCTGATCTAAAAAATAATTTTTCACCCAAGTTCTTACTGCAATCCACATACACTCACAAGATATGGAGTCACTGCAAAATATTTGCCACTGACAGGAAAGTGTCTAATAATGAAAAAATGTATCAATAAACATATAGTCAAAAACCTGCAGTGACTTAGCGATAACCACTATTTCACAATAATTAAGGTCACCCTCCCCCTAAGGTTTAAAGGTTGCACACTGCAGGTACAGCACTACATACAGTAGGGAAGGACAAATATGCCTAAGTCACAAGACACCGATCTTAATGAAACCTGCCAGTCTGTCAGCATAGCACCACTACTCTTTACGAATTTTAAGAATCGGGTAGAACAAGCATTTGAGAAGGTAGTTCAGAAATAAAGTCAGTGGCATAAACCACAAAACAGTCAATACTATTCTTGTGTTCTTAAAATGTATAAGGAAGTCCAGAAAAGAATTAAATATGGCTATTCCTTTAATGTAAAAACAGAATGGCAAAGATTTTATTCAATTAAATTCACTGTAATCAACGCTTGCAGTTGAGTCTTGCAGTCCAAGCATCGGGTGGAAAAAAAGAGGCCTACCTGAACTATATGGCAATTCATTTAACAACTCTAGTTGATATCGGACTGACAGGGACAGGAAAATTTGAGAGCAAAGCTTAGGTATTCCCTGTTGAGAAAATCTGAAGCATCCCAGGGAGGTGAGGGTATGTTATCTTGGTAGATAAGTACTCAGAAAGTTTCTGATGGCAGATCATTCTATAATGAATCATTCCTGTGGAGTGGTAACTTCATCAGTTGATGTCTTGATGTCATCTTTGACAGCTGCTGTTGGTCTGGTAGCAGCAGATGCTGAACATGCTCTCCTGTGCAGCACAGAAAGACAGGCTGTAGCTGCTACAAGGGTGTGGAGGTAAGAGGAATCTGGTTGCTGACAAACTGGCAGCATAGCAGCAACAACTTTAGTGGCTACACCAGGCTGTCATGGCACAGGTGACATCTTACTGCGTAGAAACAGATGGTACCCAGCAGGCTGGATCAGGTCAGTGGGCACTTGGCTTATACCATGATGCCGTACTGCAAATGAGTTTTGTCGGAGCCCAGTGACAGACTGTTACGTGGGGACATGAATACCCACCAAGACAAAGCAGGATGGTTTTTGTGCAAGTTCAGCACAACACAATTACCAGTAAATGGAGAGACCAATGGCACATGTTGTGCTATAACCAGTAGTCTGACATCGAACACTAAAGAAAAGTCAATGCTCATTAATGGGTGAAAAATATAAGAAGTTTCCTCCCAACTTCCTGGTTTAGCAGAGTACTTTCCACAGATTTCAGTTCTTTCTGAACTCTTCGGAACATCCACAGTGACTGCCTGTCCACAAGTAGCCGAGTAAGACTGAATAGTCATCCCCGTGAAATGGGGGAAGTGTTTTCTGCCATCTCTGGCTTCAGCCATCTCATCTTTTGCCCCAGCTCTGGTGCTCTTTGGACCCACCTCTGAGTTGATTCAATGTTATACCAGTGGCTTATTAGGAAACAATATAATAATTTTCTTCCCCCCACTCCCACAGTAGTTTTCTCTTAGGCTGAAGAGTTAATTCTCCTTGTGGAAGCTCAAAAAAGTGCCAGAGATGATGCAAGGGGAAGCAGTGGGAATGCATGGCCCCTAGCAGAAAACAAGGTCAATTGGTGCTTACCCTGTCTCAATTCACCCTTGGGACTAGAGTCTCAATAATCAATCAGAAAATTGGTCAATCAAAGCTTAGACTGACGCCACTGGGGGGCCATCCCAGGAGATTTTGAAAGAAGACACTAAGATACATACATAAATATGTGAGACTATATTTTAATGAGCAGTTTGATTAAATCTACCTTACGCTGGCTAATCATAGGTCATAAAAAGCTGTTTTAAAGTTGTAATAAAATCTTACTGAAAGTGAATGAATTTAAAGAGCTAAAAACCAGACAAGACCCAGAGCAGTCTCTCAGTAACAACTTTTAATTGTACGCTATAAAATTATGAGTTTCCTACTCATTATAGTGACAATTAGGAAAATTTAAAAACACACAGGCTACAGGCTTAATTTTAAAAAAAAACCCTATTAACACAGCATGAAAGAATCTAGTTAAGGGGTCGTCCTCACTTTTTTTCCCCAAGAATAAAGGCTACTGTAACTTTTGGAAATGGAGATCTAGAACAAGTTAAATGATGTAGCAGTAGAGCAGGATCAACAAATGCAGGTTGTTGAAATATGAATTTTTAGAGCATACAAACAAAATGTCACATTAGTTCTCCATAGCTTTTCGCAAAATCTTTTTTTTGCACTGAATTTTCATTCCTCCTACTGTAACTTTTGACAGGATTCATAAGTAGCAATGACTGTTCAGTGTTTTGTTTGTCTGTTTGTTTGTTTTAACTCTCCTTTTTTTCTTAGACGTGTTTAACAGTCAAAACTGACTGCTAACATCTCTCAATCAGCTGAGTGTAACAGCACCCCCTTCTGGTTTTAGCAGTTTAAGGTGGAATCTGGAACTCCCATTATCATGTAAAAACCTGTAAAGGAGAAACAAGGCAAAAGTGAAAATATTCTAAAACTAGGTATTTAGTCATAAGAAATAGGCAAACTAATATTAATGCCACTACGTTAGCCCAACCTATTCAATTGCAGGGGCTGAGGAATAATTTTAGAATGGTTCTCGTGGGCCATGAGGTAGCTCTGTGCAGGTGTGGTAGCCAGCACGTCTTCATCACTGTATGTGGTGGCAGCACTCCAAAAACCTGTTCATGCAGGGACTCACTTGACAGCAAGCCTCCTGTCCCACTGCTACCTTCTCTAGTGTGGGCATCAAGGCTCGTGATCCAAGTACCTGTCTGTTCTGGGCTCATGCTGCCTGAGCAGCCACTTGTCATCTCTTCTGAGGCAAACATAGTGGGTGGAGAGGACTATCTCATGGGCCAACTCTGTGCAACAGGTTAGCCTACCCTGTTTAATTAGACCACCACTTTGGCCTAGCAACAACTTTATAATCTCAGTACTGGTATCTTTAAAATTGCTTAGATTTTCAGGCAGAAGTGTCCCTGACTCTGAAACATTATGCTACCACTGTGTTTTGCCACACTGAGCTGTATATTGCTTACATGAGGATTGTTTCAGGGATCCTTCATGTAAAGTACTGCCTGATCATATTATCTATGTGCTTTTTACTTTAAAATATTTGTTACGAAAACTTTCAAAACATTGATCATTGCTGCATTAGAAAACAGAAAGTCATGGTAATTTGCTGTATGAGGTAAACAGGTGACACTAATCAATGAAACTTAATCAAATTGCAACCAGCCGTTTCTGCTGAAGGAAAAAAAACCCAACGCACCATATAAGTAATACCACTGACATGGACTGAAATCAAACCTGATCCTGCAAGCTGAAGAACAAAAGTGGGTGTTCAGGCATCTCTGTATAGATTAGCTTACTAGGCTGGGGTCTTTTTTCTCCATTGGCTTTTTCTGCTAATGCTTGATACGATTTAGTTTTAAAAGGAAATTGCACTCCATGCTGTACGTTGGTGCTAAAATATGCACATACTTAACTATTAATACATATCTTTTTGTTGCATTTTGTTGTTAAGGAGCATTATTTCAGGCATAGATACAACTGCAGTGGTAACGGAGTGGGGGAGATGTCCATTACTTAAGTTTCCCAGTGGGAAAGCAGACTGAAGTGATGGTGTCATCTGTAGTCTCTCCCTCCAAACAGATCATCTCTACAGATAAATTCATACCTGAATACGAATGTTGTCATTTACAAGATCCCGTTTTCTCCTCCTGGATGTTTTGAAGGATCTAGCCCATGTTGCTTCATCTGCACGGCGATATCAAACAAGTAATCGTAACACTCACACCTAAAATTAAAAAAGTGAAATGTAAAGTAAGGCTCAAGTATTACCTCTCACCATGTTTTATGGAAATGAATAGTTTTCCTCCCTGAGATTTACGTCACCAATGCAATGGTCTGACTGGACATCTCTATTATAATTTATTTCCATTACTGTGGTATGGAAAGTGCCCGGCATTTTTGCTACATGATCCTAATTTCCTGCATTTCCCTCAGCAAATGAAGAAGTAAATTGCAAAAATGGGACTAGGGAAGACTACAGAAACAGTATTGGCAGGTGTCATATAAAAGCAGAGATTGCCTGCAGGTTTCACGTGAGGAGGAACTTGTCCATATGAAAGGAAAACATTGGCAACCCTATCAGCCAGCAGTGATATGAAAGGAAAACCAAGCAGTGGGAATCATGGATGAACCCACTCCCAAAAGCTCCCTATACTTTCAGCAAGGCCGGAACTTAATTTTCTGAATCACTGTCCATGGGTTGGAAATACACATGACATTAAGGTCATTATGATTTTGAGGTATAATAGCAAAAGATACCATATTCCTAAATTGTACTCACATCGTTTTGGCTTTTTCCCATGTTTCTCCCCATACATAAACTCCATGACGTCTGACCAATACAGCACAAGTGTCTGGGTATTTTTCCAGTGCACGTGCCATTCTTTCCTTGAGATCCTTCTCTTCTGGTGTATTCTCAATAATGGGAACCACTAGTGTATCATCATATCTAAAAGAAAAATGAATGTATTTATAAAAACACTCTGTTTGGATGTATTAAGCTTTTCCCTAAGAAAGAGACTGTGTAAAGTGGTTAACAAATTCTCAACACTAGTGATTTTATGCCCTTCTCTTGTGAGTCACACTATAACATAAGAACTGTCAGAACATCTCTCGCTCCCAAACATATGCTATGCTGGCAATACCTGAGCTACACTTGAGGCACAAAAAGAAAATAACACTTTAATATGTTAGGTGTAGCTGTTTGTTCACGTATCACTTTGTAGTTGGGTCCCTTTACAACTTTTTCAGACTCTCTTCATCCTGTATTGGCATCACCTACAAGCTTTATCTCAGATAAAATTATTTAAAAGAATCACATCATGAAGAAGGAAATGAAGCTGTTTGCTGGAGAGCAGAAAAAAATTAATTTAGGTAGTCCAAAAAGCCCCTGGAAATAAGATTGTCCTGCTAAGGCATATAAATAGAAAGTAGAGTCAACACATGAAAAATAAATTCTCTGTGATGGAGTCATTGGTGGGCTACACGCGATCTTAAGAGAGCCTTAGAACCCCAGTTCCAAAGACAAGATGATGCATGTTACTCAGTGGAACTTGCCTAAGAGTTTCTTCTGAAGGAGGACTGGGATATTTGGCATTGTTTGAACCTTAATTAACACTGGCAGAAACTTGTTTAAATAGTTTTAATAAGTCCCCAGTTCAGGTTCAGATTTATCATTGAGATCACATAGACATTTCATGACTGGATGCTAGTAGTACTTACTTTTATAAAACACAGACAGAAAGCAATCGTAAAAATAATACAGCTTGTACTTCAAATCACATATTCAGAAAATTAAAAAAGTCTCACCTCTTACAGTTTTCAATACTGATGCCTTCCCCAGGAAGTCCATAAAAATAGCGAATGAGGAAAATTAAGTGGGCTTTGTAGGTTTACTTTGACTCTTGCATGTTCTGATTGTTAAAATTAGATTTGGAGTGTTCACTACTAGTGAGGCCAAATGAGCTAAGGGATTGGTTTCCTAGGTTCTGCTTTCTACTTGCACGTGAGTTTGGAAGCAGGTATAAATACCGTAACTGTTTCCTAATCATAACCATAAGCTTTTTATCAAGAACTAATATCTATAACACCCCAAGAAGACTCTAAATGAATTAAATACTTGATGTCTCTTTAGTTTTATTGAAATATAAGCAGCCTACATTTAGCCAAACCTTCATATAAAATATCTTGGGACAGTCTGAGACTTTCAAAGCTATTTACCACAGATGTAGTTCTCTCTTTCCTGGATAGCTTCCAAAAAAGGCTTATGTCATTAGAAACAATATATTGTCAATACCTTTATTGAAAGATCCCATTCTGTACTATAGATTTTCTTTTCAATTCAATGGAGAGCTTTGTATGAGGCAACACAGTGGAATCAGTCTAGCGTGGATGAATATGTACTTAGGAAGCATGTAATCTGGAGCTTTGATTTCTTCAGTTTTTCTGGTAAATTAACAGGATGACACGGGACAATTCGGAGATATGGAACCCAGTAAATACAATGTCTCCTGACTAACATTTAGGAGTGTTTGAGAATTCAAAATGCATATCCAAAAAAGAAAATTGTTGTGGATTTTTTTAAACAGTGTTGTTAGACAATTCAATATAAGGGGTGTCTTTTGCCACATTAAAAATACAAATGCTAATACTGACAAGAAGGTAAAGCTGGCAAGTCAACCAAAATGAATAAAATATGCCCGGGCGTAAAATCACATGCCAGACATATGGCTTGCTCCCTTGCCAAAGGGCAATAGTTAGTTACAAAAATTAACATCAAAAAGTGGAAAGAATTTCACATTTCAATTTTTCATCTAATTGTCACATATTATATAAATGTTGTTTGCGGATCCCAATTCAACACTCTGTGGGTGGAGTCCTCAAAACAAGCCTTCACACATAATTTGGAATAACTCAGCACTTACCTCAGAGCTTATCCTTGAAAAGTAGTAACATTATCTTTAATGAGCTGTTTATTCTGTATTTTCTTTCAAAGCCTTTCAAGTAAAATCTGAAATCCTCTAACTCTCTTAACATGCCCTAAACTAGCACAGGCAGTGATATGTGAAGTCCACCCAAATGTAGTTTGTATGTTATCAATCCAACCTAATGTTGGTTGGCTCCAGTTTCAGTTTAACATTGTGTAGATGTGTTAACATCTCTGTTCTTGAGATATTTGTCAGGACATAGCTCTTTATTTGGTTTATTTCTGTAGCTCAACAGACCATAGTAGCCTTGACGTTACAAGATTTTATCTCGGATCTCTTCCATAAGCTTGACACTTTCTTACAGAAAGCCAATGACTGATTTATTCCAGATGTCTTTTTACTTCTTATTCCTAGTACTTTATATTGCACACTTTAACACACATAACTCAAATAACTTTTCATCTATTTATATTGCTGAAAACAAATGATCAAATAGCATGCCTCTTTTCTTTATATAAATATAGAGAAGTACCGGTAAGAGCCTCCTGAAGTACACTTCTGGATTCCTTTTATCATCTCCTGATGGGTAATGCTGAACTCACTCCCTGGGTAAAGAAGGGTAGCCATAACAGCAGCCTTGGAATGAGTATGGATCACTGCGCCTGCCCCTAAGAACAGAAAGAGTAAAAAAAACACCAGTATTTTCAGAATTAATTTTAAAATGTGTCTATTAAGAAAACTGTATTCACATACTTGATTCATTTCCTTTGGCTAGGCATCTAGGCAAATGGTCATCTACTGTATTAGAGGAAAAAATACGCAGCAACCTAAATAAAGGTATGAGATAATTACTCATCTATGAATGATAATTATGGATTGTCTTAGGACACTAGTGTTAACTTGTAGTTAGTGACAAATTCCAGGAGAGAAACTACTTGCACAAATTCAAGGAGAAACAGTACTTGTACATTGCTTCACATGCTGCAATGACTGAAACAGTCTATTAATTTTATCAGTTATCAGAGTTCTGAGATTCTAAAGAATTCCCAGACTTACTTGTGAGATGAAAGTTTAAAGACTTTTACTTTCTTTTTATGCTAGTACTATTCTTCAATTACCCACTGATTCTCTGAAAAAATATTTATCGTTATTGTTTCATGATGGAAAGATAGACAATAATCAGGTAATTATTGGTAGACAATAATTATAATTTACTTATAAAGTTGCAATGTAAACAAAAATATGAAATTAGTTTTCCTCATGTGCACATGTAAGTTTCTTGTGCAGGAAGATCAGAAGAGACTCCCTAAATTCTTTCTAAACTAACAGATGTAAATACCACAAAACAGCAAAAGCTCTCTATTACTGTCCACCTACAAAAGAAAATTTTCATACTTTTTTCACCTATCCGTAACTTAGAACCTTTGATCAAAGCCAATGGTTGTAAAAGGATCTAAACCATAGCTGCTGAATAGGCAAAACTACTGGCATAAAACTGCTATAAATCCCCCAGCTCCTTCTGCAACCTAGTAACATACCACACTAAAAATTAGTGCCGAGAAGATGATCACAGGTATAGCTACATGAGAAGATTAAAATGTGAATGACGCTCACAGGATGTTTCCACGGATTACCACCATTGTACGTATTCCTTTGCAAATCAATTTATTTTATAGTTTCATATTTATTTCACTGTAACTTCCATGTATAAAGAATATAGTACTGAATATCAATTTTGTGGATGTATATATACAGTGCTTCAGTCATCACTGAGCTAAAAACATTTGCTATGCACCTCTCATAGTGTAGGCATTCATAAAAAGAGGTGTACACTGGCTTTTCTTTAGTTTCTTCTGTGGTGGAGGACCACTGATGTCCTGTTCATTCATGTCACAAACAAACATATCTTCTGGCTGTAAGAAAGAAGAAATTATTTTGACCTCTGATGATCAGAATAGTTTTGTTTTCCTTCTTGGGAGACAAATATATACACACCATATATTTAATATTGAATGTGATTTTAACTTCGTAAAAGTGCTGTAACGCACCATGTTTATTCTAGCTTCTAATACTATTAACTCACATTGTGTAATGTGAATTAATATTAGGTACTCTTTTTATTCAGACTGCTGCCAATCAGATATTCGTAAAACTAAAATTTTCTCAGAAAGCAGACAGCCTGCATCTAAATAACAGACAATAGATCACAAAGAAAAGTAGTAACTGATTCAAAAAAAGAAATGTAGATGTACTTTTCCTTCTCCCCTTAAAGACCCAACAAAGGACATGAATTAAACCTAAATATATTTAACTTGTAGAACTATTTTTTAAACATTGCTTTTAGTAGATTTACATGAATGTTACCTTTGCATCAATCAGCTACTCATAATAGTACAAAGAATTGTTCAGGGCAGCAATAAAACTTTCTTCTTTAATGTTATTTTAAAAATCAGCAGAAAATACAGTTGCAAGAGATTTCTTTACTCACTGTGCCCAATCCACTGCTACTGCTAGCAAAGAACAGACCATCACCGTCTTGTCGTGTTATGCCTTTGCCTGCCTTACTTGCTAACACCCCCAGCGAGCACTGCTGCAAAACCCCAAGTTTCTATCAGTGAAGAGAATCCTTTCACTTGTCATTGTATTTACCCTCGGATCTGTAAGACAACAAATCCTTTCCACATATTCTATTCTGGGGGAGATCCTGCTGTCATAAAATAGTTCTCATTTACCATTCTCCCCTCCACTTACTTTTTCGGGTTTTTTTTTTTTGGAAAGGAGACAGGCAGACAAGGTCACCTTTTTATGGGGAGAGCCCATCTATTTACTGAGAATATCAAGACAAAGATCTGTAATAAATAGAGATGAGGTGTTAATGCTTAATTACAGATGTGCCAGAGTAACTTGAAACTGTAGCCAAACACCTATAAAGCCATTCAAGCTTGACAAAGGATAAAACTGGACTTGAGTAATGTTTGAATCTCACAGTCTTCTGTGTTAATTTAAAGCAAAGAGATCATCAAGACTAACCTACACTGGCCACTGAAACACATGTCGGCTTGCTGTGCTAGTGGAGTACTGGGTAAAACCCTCAGTTGTTTTAATAAAGCAGTCAGTAAGTATAACAAGTTTCTAACTTTACATAAAGAAAAATGAAACTCTAAGCAAAGGTACTTTCATCCATCTCAAGATGAGCTGTGAGGTAAAAATACAGTTCAACGTACCTGTATTCTTTCCTTTTGGACTCCTGATGGAGCGATGTAGATCTCATTCCTATGAAAAGTTACAGACAAGGAAAATCAATAAACACAGGGTTGTTCAACTGCACAGGCATTAGAGTTCTTGACCTACTGAAAATGCAGTAGCAAATCTAGCCCCTCATAATTTAATAGGTTGACATGTAGATGGTTTTCAAAATAGAACCGAACCATAGCAGGGCATACGAAATCTTTTAACTTGCAGGGGTACAAAACCATGCTTTCAACTTGACAAGAGATCTGAAGCACACGTAGGAAGTGCAGCCTTATTTTTCCGACAAAGAAAAACACACAGCCTCCCCCTGCAATAATTCCAAACTCAAATCCCCAGAATTCAGAATAAAAATGGAACGACAGAAATTGCAAGCAGATACCGATCTATAACAAAACAGGTGACAAAACTATTACTTAAAAAACCACAGACTACCTATAAACAGTATTATCTGAAGTATTCTACAATGCAAATACTTTTGGGTTTTGTTATAACTGTGTAGTTTAGGTTTTTAATACATTTATATATTTATTTGTATCGACAAAAAGATAACACTAATGCAATGCAATTAAATGACTGAAATTCAAGTAGAAGCGCATCACTTCTTGCAAGGTTTACATGAACAATGACTATAAAAAATTTAACATTAAAATTATTTTAAGGTGGTATCTGAAATATTTTCAATAATAGCAAAAAACCCCCCAGATTATCTCTCTCACTTGTAATCACGACTCGGTTTCAACAGTAACATACTAAATTCAGGAGCAGAGAGACATCTAGTGAATAATTAGTCAAGTTACAGACACATTTCCTAAGGACCACAAGATGTTTTTTATTTCTGGACAAGAGCACTCAGAAGAGCAATGAAGCTGGTGGAGGGTCCAGAGCACAAGTCTTATGAGGAGCGGCTGAGGGAGCTGGGGCTGTTTAGTCTGGAGAAAAGGAGACTGAGGGGAGACCTTATCGCTCTCTACAGCTACCTGAAAGGAGGTTGTGGTGAGGTGGGTGCTGGTCTCTTCTACCAAGTAACTAGTGATAGGACAAGAAGAAATGGCCTCAAGTTGCACCAGGGGAGGTTTAGATTGGATATTAGAAAAAACTTCTTTACTGAAAGGGTTGTCAGACATTGGAACAGGTTGCCCAGGGAAGTGGTGGAGTCACCATGTACTAGATGATCCTAAGGGTCTTTTCCAACCTAAATGATTCTAATTCTTCCAAAAATACAACTCTTAAGATGACGTACTCTTCACAGTGGTAAAACAGCTGTGAAACACATCAAAATGTGGCTTTATCATATTTGTAATTTTTAACATTCATGAATTAAGACTGCCAACATTGCATTAATTTAGTCTTAATTCCTTTGCATGAGCAAGATGATTGAAGCGCAACATATAAAGAAATCGAGTGGTAATTCAGTTGCTAATGAAGATGTGCATTTTTTTCTTCTTTTTAAAAAATTCATTACAAAGGGAAGATCTGATTATGAAATACAGCCTTTGAAATACAGGACACCTGGCAAAGAATTCTAGATCCATTTTTAATATGCTATCCCATGTCCAAATTGGCATTTTTATTCCAAGTAGTTGATATGAATTGCACAGTGAGTAATACTGATTAGGATTAGCTGGTAAAACCAGTTGTTAGAATTTCAGTCAAATTTCAATTGTTCTTTCACTATTTCCTATGTAACAATTCTATGGTAGTCTCACCTCTGCCTTATAGCTATTCATTTTGAAACATACCTACTGTTATGGTAGGTATGAAACTACAGCCATGTAGATTACTGTTCCTAGACCATGTAAGATATTGGTACCAACTCAAGTTTGTATTTTGGTGTAGTCTGAGCAACCAAGTTATAGAACTGCTGAGGAAAACTGTACTACTATGTTAGTGTATTCTCTGTTGACATGATTTGTCTTGCCACAACCAACATGAATTGCACTGAAATGACAAAGAAAATAGGCTACATTTAGCTACTGATGAGAAATCAGTGCTAGAAAGATCTTTCCATAGATGAAAAACTTTAAAACCAAGAATTAACTCTCTTATCATTCCTCTCATTATTATTACTGCTACTGCTTTGCCTGCAAAATCAAGAAGGGAAGTGGAATGATCTGCACAAAGCCACAAATATTAGCATTTAGAGCCTTTACTTCATATATGTATATATATCTCATATATTTGAATAGCAATGGCTCTTCTTGTCTGCGTGGAAGTGTACGTCAGAAAAATGGGAGGTCAGACACTTTCAAGTTAAGAGTGTCACAACACCCTGTGACTGGGGATAGAATTGCAGGCACTGTGGAAATTATTTTGCAGAATGACTTCTCTTTTTTCAGTGGCCACTGGGAGGAGCTCTGTCTCCATTAAAAGCTTGGAAAGTATGCATAGGGGTAGACGAGCAAATTGTAAAGCAACGTGGTGCTCCTGAGTAGTGGATACACACCAAAAATTGTTTTGCTGTTACCTGTCCTGCTTTAACTGTATGTTAAGAATACCTCCTTAGAATTGTATCAGTAGAACAGTAATTTCCTTCTTAAAGGAAATGTATTGCCTGCAAAATGTCTAGGGTGGGATTCATCTCACCTAACCACAGCCATTTGAAAGCTGTGTGCCTGGTGTAACCCAGTCTGAATTCCATGGTCAATGAAACAAAAAGGGGGAATGCCTTGCTCCTTAAAGACAATTTATCTACCTCAAACAAAGATAGGAAAAGGACAGAAAAAAGTCACTCGGAAGTTGGCTCCTTCCATGGAAGGGACTGCAATGATTAATTCAGACTAGCCAACTCCCTTCTATATGGTTAAATTTGGTGTACTGTTCATTTCTCCCTCTACTTCTTGCTCACTCTTGACTTCCAAAGATTTTTCATAGAACTGAAATGCCCTCACCAACTCCTAAATACAGCCACCCCCTCTCCCTCTAAGCATCCCATTCTTTCTCTTCCATCTTTACTTACCCATGTTTCAAGCTGATTCCTCCACCAGTTCCTGTTACCCAGCCTAAACCATAAAACAGTCTACAAAGCTCTGGTATAAGATTTCTTGGATGCAACTTTTCCTAAAAATAAATTGAAGAAATAAATTAAAAAACATCCAAAACATCACAAACCTAAGAATTTCAATTCTGAAATTTAAAGTTTAAAGGGTAGTAATTTCATACTATAATACAACAGTCTAATTTATGCTTATGAACCACAGTTGCAAAATGACTGCATGTTTGCACAATGCCCTTTACACTTTGCAGGAGCCATTCACACCTTGAAAAGAACAAACCCCCCAAATAAAATACGTGTTTGATTATCCTTCACAGGAAAGGTCTCATTTCAAATTTACTCGAGTGCAGTGGCCCACAGGTATTACATCAGCAAGATTAAGTCCTATGCTATTGCCATAAAAAAAGAAAAGAAAAATAAATGCATCTAACATCCATTTTGAAAAGCTCAACTAATAACTTTTCCCATTGAATCAGCTTTCTTTAGGTTTATTTTGTTTGATTTACAAATTTCAGTAGAACAGACTTGATATTATATATTTTATATATATATTATTTATATTGTATTTCTACGTAGCAGTCAAAAATACCATCGAAAACATAGGCAAATTATTTGATGAATTTCATATTCCTACCTTTTTACAATGTGAGGTTACCTCACATGCAGTTTAGCCAGAAGGCAAACTTTAAGAAGAAAAAGAGTTCTTAAATTTTTCCATATTCCATTGTTCATTACATCAATAAATATATCTGTATCTGTCTATTAACCAAAGGTATCTGTAGTGTCAGAGATTCATTCACAGGTAATCTAAACCAGAATGGCTTTACAGAACAAGCCAAAACTATTTACTGGCCATCTTAAACATTACTCTGCACTGAACATATGAAACTAAGAAAGCTGTACCTAACAGGTAGTGGTCTTTGATAAGCAAGTACTACTTTGGAAAACTAAAAATTTTGAGTGTTGGAATCATTTACATGAGAAATATAACCGGTGTACGCAGAGAAAGCTGTGAGATTCAACTTTAATTCATACTCTGTGCTTGAATTTATGCATTTGCATGTTGTCTTGAGTATTTCTTTGAGCTTATCTGAGAGAACAAAAAGCCAAAGTCTTCCCCATTTACCAGTGTAAAAATAAAAACCATAGGTGCTTTCACAAAGATCCTGATACAACTGAACCCATCAAGGAAGGAATTAAACAGTAGAGAAACAAAGCAGTGATTTTATTTATGGCAATTTATCTCCCTGGGATGGGGTGAGATTTCTACCTACACCACCACAGTAATATAGCTGGTTTTGTTTCTTTATACGGGTGTGTGACAAAAATCAGCAATTAAGCACAACAGATGTGCTCTTTGCATTGTTTTCAACAGAAAAATATATTAGTTTTAGGAAGGCTAAACCCTTAGGTCACCAGTCCCCTGCTACTGCATTAAACTCTCATGTAATTCTTTTTATGTATACATTAAGCCTGATCAGTACTTCAACTTCATTCTAGTGGAGCACCATATTCTTCAATGGCACATGTTTCTGAAGCAATTATCTTTAAAGAACTGGGATTCAGTACAGATGCTATTCCTGCCTGCTCTGATTTTGTTTCTATTATTTACAGTCTCTTTTAATATATTAAAAAATCGCCTGTTTATTCATTTCAAGTGATAGAAACAAGACTCTGACCAGCACTCCTAGAAACTTGTGTAAGAAGTTAAGATTTTTAAAGCACCATAAATGTTCATCAGTTCACATTACCTGAAACAAATAGAACAGCATATACAAGAGTACATGAGGAAAAAGACCCCAGGCCAAATAAGCAAACTCCTACATTTACAGTGCAAATAATCTGAAATCTTCCCCATTGACACAGCTGAAAATGAAACCACTCCTTTCCAGCTCTTTGCCACTGAAAATAGTAATATACATCAAGTATACTCTGACTAACTAAATATTCCTCAAACACTAGTGACTCTGAAATGTACTGTGAATCTGAAAATATTAATGCATGTGTCGTATGTTTACAAATGCAAAACAAGCGCATAGTATGTGTAAATTATGGGTCTGTTTTGTTGTTCTGATTTATTTATACAGAATTAATGGCTGTATATAATTTTTATCTATTCAACTGTCATAAAACTGAGTCCCACAGTATCTTTTTTTGACTCTTATTCAAAATGACATCACTGCCTATTTCTAACCTATGTACTACGCTGATATTTTTCATTTCAAAGAAAAATTATGTCTCTTCTACTTTTGAGGGAATAAGCTTATATTAAACAGGTTTATACGGCTACCATTTATTGAATGTACACAGCCATAAAAAAACCCTAGATTATAACACTCCTACAGTTGTTTCATATTTTCCTTGTTTGATTAATCTAGACATTTACTGCAAAACTCATATTCATGGGAGAACATGAGTGCTTTTCACCACTTTAAATCATAAAAAGAATTAAAAATTCAAATTCAGAAGCTACTTTCATCAAGAACATATGAAAATAAATACAATAAAGGAATTTAGACTATTTTTTTGAAGAATTCCAGGATTATAAATCAATCCTCAGAGTTTAACAGTATTTTTCCAGGATCAGTGGATACTGATTATAAGCATAAAATATCTAAACAAAAATATTACTGTATTTCAGGTTTAAAATTACTGATAATAAAAATGACAGTTCTTTCCATAACTAAAAAAGGGTACTTGCTGTAGTAAGCCCGTGAGTGAACATGTGTAAAACCAGTAGGCAACTCAACAGGATTACTCTTTGTCAAATCTCAGTTAGCACTACTTTTAAATTTGATTTTTAAGTTGAAGTACAGATGCCATTGGCTATCTCTTCCTTCATATCTCCAACTCAGGACCTGGCACACTAGTTTTCTGATACAGCTAACATGAACAATTTAGCTTCTTTGCTGCTGTGCTGCTACCATCTTAGCCTGTTTCTACGTGCTGTTAGGTATGAAGGAAAACTCCACAAATTTCCATGAACTAAAAGAAGTGACTAATTTTTCAATGCATTAAATTATTCTTTTGAAAACAAATTTGCTGGTAAATTTCTAAACAGAAACTGACTGAAAGTATTCACTGAAAATTTAGAATATTTCCAGCAATCAAATCTTTAAAAAAAAAATTATTGTATTCTGCAAGACTGTGGTTGCTCAAGGAAAATTAGCTTTTCCCTGTTTTATTCAAATTACTGTACCTAATATGATTTAAAAACCAAACCAAAACAAACCCACTCTCCTAACCCCCCCAAAAAAAGAAAACAATGTGGATCTAATATAATGGAAACCAAAGTGGACACAGGCTACTTGTGGAACAAACACATTTGTAAAGGTTTTGCAGATAATTTTCAAAAGGTATAAAACTGAACTACAATGTGGATATTTTAAGATATTATAGTAAATAAACAGTGTCTGAAATATGTATCTCTTTCACACAGTGCTTAGAAATCATGTATCTTCCTCAGAAATAAGCACACACTGCATAGATGAAATCACACCATTGATATTTCATACTGACAGGTAGTAAATCATGATGAGGTTTCTCTGAATAGCCACGTAGTGATAAGTTTGATGTGGTAAACTAGATTTGTCCTACACTGTATAAATAAAGTGAGAAAGGTACCATTAATAAGCTGGTAGATTTTGGTTTAAAATCTGTCTTTAGCATAGAAATGGACCAAATAAACCAAAATAGCAAAAATAATGTCATGATCCTTTAAAAAAGTTTACTTTCTACACCACCTTCAGCACCATACAAGGATTCTACAATGCAAAAGGGAGTTGTTTTAGGTGAGAAAGGAAGAGATAGGAAAGCAATGTGGTGAGGATTCCTACTCTGCTCAAGAGCCTCAGACTGTCAATTTTTACAGCAAGTACAGACCTCCAACTGAAATTGATCATTTATGGTGTGCCTTTTTTATGTTTTTAATTTTCTTTTATTGCAGCAATTAGAACCTTTAGTAGTTTTTTAAAAATTACAAGTGATTAGCTGCTTTACTGCTCAGCTTAGTCATTTATGCCCATGAAAGGACATTTCCAAAAGAAATGTTTGTGCAGCAGCAGGAACCCACATTAGGGGAGGTATTCTGTTAACACCCACAGAATAAAGAGGACAAAAGCAAAAAATAAGTAGCATATACCAATACCAAAACTGGTAGGCAGGTAGTTACTTAGTGCCAATACCTTTGCTGAAACATTAAGAAAAAAGTGTTGTTGTCACTGTTCTCATCCTCCACCCCATGACTCTAAAGTTGAGGATCCTCGATGGTCTAAAGTAAGACCATAAGACTTAAGCAAAGGGCAACTGGGACTTTGTGAGCCCCCTAAGATTGTCTCCTGGCCCTTAGAATCACAGCAAGCAAAGGCTTTGTTTAACACAGCCCCTCTGAACAGAGACCACTTGCATCTTGTTGCAGTTGCTACAGGGGCCTGTCCATCACAGGAAAATGCTTCCAGTTAGCGCTGGACTTGCAGAACCAGGCGTGGGGAGGCAGTGGTGGCAGCATCAGAGAAGCAGGCATGGATGCAAGACAGCGGCAGTGGTTCTGAGGCAGGAGACAGGGAAGGTGAACTGATGGGAGACGGCAGCCTGGGGCAAGACTGACAAGGTTTGGAAGCTCCTACTTTAACCTCATCTTTAAAACCTCTAATGACAGTGAGTCACAAACTCCTTAGGCAACAGTCCCAGGTTAGACATATTTTCCTAATTCCTAACCTAAACCTTGCTCGCTGAAACTTAAGCTTGCTATCTCCTACTAAACAGTCATGGACATAAAGAAGACGTTCTTCCCTTTCACCTCCGTGACAACATTCTACATACTAAGACAACTCCATTTGCTCCTCTTTCTTTTTTTGAAGAAGCAGATTCTTTCCCTTTTTCCTGACAGGCCACATTATCTGGCCTGCTGATGATTCTCATCTCCCTGTTGTCAATCCACGCTGTTCTCAATGCGCAGGCTGGTCTCTTGACCAGTTCCACATACCAACAGGACAGGTATTCCAAGCCTCATCCAGGTGATACTCCCATATGCTCTAGCACGTTTTTGCTTCATTTGATGAAGTGCAGCGGAGCCGGCTCATGCTGACGTTGTGATGGCTTACAATAATGAAGTTGTGAAACTACACCCCCCCCCCCCCACAACTAATGAAAACCAGCTGCAACAAA